TCCCACGGGTGGGGGCCACCAGGGGGTATCTCACGGGCCCGTTCGCGCCCAGATTGGGGGGATGTCTCAGGCGGTTTGCCTGTTTTTGGTGCTCAACATCCTTCTCTTTCGGAGCAGTTTTCGGCGCCCTGATAGGTGTTCAGAGGAAAAGAAGGAGAAAGAGGAGGAGGGCAATGAGGAGCAGGAGGAGGAGGAGGAAAGAAGGACGAAGCAACTAGTTAAAGTCGTCGCAGTCGTCGGCGTCTCTCTCGGCTTCGTCTTCCACATGAATTCGCTGGCACTCAGATAGGGAAAAAAGACAATGCCTTCTGCCGAAGCATGCTATCACTCTGAGATGCACATATGGGGATCTCCGCGTCGAGTAATTAGTTGTTCGTTTAAAATCCGCCTGTAGGGGACATGCCCGACTTAACTCAAGAGACGGGGGTCACTTCAAGCGGGGTTCGTCAGATCGCCGGATCTTGCAGGATCCTGCAGAGCCAGGCGTGCATTGACCCGGGCTCGCGTGCAGGATCTTGCAGGATCCTGCACAGCTCGACTGACCCGGGTCTGGATTGACCTGGGTCAGTAGATCCCCGATCTCTCGGGCGTCGAGCGAAGGGGGTGCGATGATTGGGGGTGGAGGAGGAAGAGGAGAAGGAGGAGGATTTGGGGGGTGCGATGATTGGGGGGAGGGGAGGGAAATTTGCACCTCTTGTGCTCGGAGGGAGGAGGGGGCGGGGGAGGAGGAGGAGGAGGAGGAGGAGCAGGAGGAGGAGGGGGGGGGGGTTCGGTCACTAATGAGGTATCGATGGTTTAATGCTCTTTTGCGTATCGCTATTCTCTGTGATGCGTTCTTGGTGTTATTTTCTCCTTGTTGTTGTTCTGGCGAGGAAGGTAGTTTTGATGATTGTATTTATGCATCATGGTTCTCTGCAGCAGGCTCTTGTGGGTTGTCAGGTTTTGCTTCGGGGCGTTGTTGGCGCCCCAAGAGGAGTTTCTTGATCGCTGTGCTGTGGTTTTACACCCAGTGGCCGCTGCAGGCTGTCCCTGCTGCCAGCGTGCTCGCTTGGGACGCTTTCTCCCTCTCCTCCCCCCCCGCGCAGGAGGAAGAGGAGGAGGAGGAGGAGGAGGAGGAGGAGGAGGAGGGGGAGGAGGAGGAGGAGGAGGAGGAGTAGGACGAGGACTAGTGTAAACCCAAGGATCATCAGTGATGTTGCAAGAAACCATCCCTCCAAGTTTCCTCTTCACAGGTTCCGACAGGATTCACACTCACTGAGAGAAGTGCTCCGTTGGAAGAGAACCGTCTGAAATTGCTGAACCGTGCCAGGACACCATTCCAGGGATTTCAACGCCGCGAACCAACGTTACGGTTGCATCCTGACGATCCTGAATCGTGCCAGAAAGCCACTCCTGGGACTTCCACACCGCGAGTCAACATACCTGTTACACCCCGACTACTGTCATGCATCGGGTCAGAAACGCCGTTTCTGGTACGTCAACCATCATAATCCTTGAAGCTGTAAGCCTTTAAGACAAGTGTGCGCGGCGCTAAGGCGAGATCAATATTCTGAACAGGGGCCGCTCTCCATCCGTGATTGTTGCACACTTTTGAAGCGATTGTGCACGGCGCCAAGTCGAGAGTCTCATGTTAAAAACGACGCGCCCCGCGTCTTTGAATATGTTACACATTCTCAGCTTAAGGATCATAGGCGGTGAGAAAGTGTCAGGCGAAACTCCCAGCCAGCCCTGCCGACGCGTCTCGGAGTGCTACAAGCAGGAGGTATCCCTTAGGAAACGGGATGGACGAGGAGGAGGAGGAGGAGGAGGAGGAGGAGGAGGAGGAGGAGGAGCAAGCGGGGGAGGAGGACGGGCGCTTGCCGATGCCCTCACGCATCATTCCTACCCCTGCGCTTGGGGGGATGCCCAGGTCAAGATGAGGAAGGTGCTGGGCGTGACGGGCCCCAAGTCCACGTGGAACCCATTCGGAGGCGGAGGCGGAGACGCCGACACGAACGCCACATGGGAGGACGCCGAGCGGCGAGGGAGGCATTGAGCGATGGGTGGAAGAAAAGGATGATGATGAAGGGTTGGAAGGGATCGCGTCTCTCTGCTTACTCCCGCTCCCTCGTCATCTGCTCCTCTTTCTCTCCATTCCTCCTTTTCATGTACTACTCCTCCGGGTTGCACCCATGGACGTACCCCGAGGCCACGGTCGGCGCTTCGCTGATGACTTCTCTGCAAGTGATTGCCCCGAAGCTGGACACATTCCGGCAGCTGCACGGATGGAGCGAGCGGTACCTGTTGAAGCGTGGCTCTCGCTCTGCAGTCGTGCGGCTCATAGGAGTGGCAGCTTTGGCCGCGGGGCTCCCGCCCAAAACGCCTTCGTCTCTTCTCCCTGCCCGCGTCCTCCTCCGTTGCACACGTTCTCGACGGCACGCTTCGGGAGGACCCGCGGGCATCAGGCCTGCTTAGCGTTGTCGCGTGTGTGTGTGGGGGGGGGGCGATTTCTAGTGGCGGTACGAGTCCATTCACTGTGCCGGCTGAGGCGTGACATTACACGATGGAGCGGTGTTTCATGGGAAAAATGTGGTTGTCGCCTTGGTGCCGCGCATACTCGCCTTAAATGTTCCAATTCGTACACGGATGGAGGGCGGCTCCTCATCAAACTAATCTTCTCGTCTGAGACGTCCCCAACACATATTTTCACAAAGTCTAGCACTGCGCATAGTGCAACAGTCGCACGGATTGAAGGCGGTTCGTTTTAGATCTGGTGTTTTGATTGGGGAGTTCATCAATGTTTTTGCGTAGTCGTCGAATGGCATGGCGACCCACTCTCCAACCTTCGTTTTGCAGACGCCGACCTTTGTTCGCACAGCTAAGGGAGATGTGCGTATGATGATCGCCGACTTGCAAAATCAGATTCCTGTGGTGCACACGGGGAAGACAAGAGCATTGACAACTGAAACCGCCACTGTGCTCGCAACCGTACAAGTTGCCAGGGACCTCGTAGAGGCAGCCACGAATGCGAACAGCGAAAACTAGATTAAGCGTATTCTGTACATGGGCTTGTATCACGAAGCAGATTCGGCGTGGAGGCATGTTGTAAAGATCAAGGCCGTATTGTGCTCTCGCTCATACCCGCGTTTGGCTGTTCGAGGGTACCGTCACGCCCACATCCCTGTACGGAAGCGAGTCTTGGACCCTCGGGGCGCCGTAAACAGGAACGATTCGAGTCGCTTGGCGCACGATGACCAGGCAGATTTTCGGCGGTGACCCGTGAATCTTGATTTGAGAACATCTCGACACCAACCAGTCGGGTTGAGTCCAAGTGCGCGGAGCGGGAATCCAAGAATTTTGGCCACTGCGCAGGCTCCTCGAAAATGCACGTTTGCGACGAAGGGATCCTTTGAGGGAGAGGAGAAGTGGGGCAGCCGACTCTTGAAGTGGAGGCCTTGGTTTCGCTGCACCTTCGTTCGTCCATTGTCCTCTGTCGCCGCCTGCCCCTTCGAGGGACGGTTCCTCCAGAGCTGGCACGCAGGCCGTACCGTACCGCACCGCTTGAGACGTCGTTGTCGCTTGGGGGTCACTGGGTAATCGTCATCATTTTTCTCCTCCCTACCTATCCTTTTTGTCCTCTCTCTCCAAAATCGATCTCGTTGTCCCCGGACGGCCCAGTACCTCCCGAACTCAGGACTCAGGTTCCATTCTGGACACCTTCTCCTGCTCCTGGGAGATCGTTTGGGGCTCTGGGGCGTCTTGGTCGCCCTCGTCCCCGTCCCCCTCGTCCCCGGCCTGGACTCGGCACTGAGGAGGAGGAGGAGGAGGGGGAGAGAAAAGAAACATGAGCCAGAGCAGGAGCCAGAGCAGGAGCCAGAGCAGGAGCAGAAGGAGGAGGAGGAGGAGGAGGAGGAGGAGGAGGAGCAGGAGCAGGAGCAAGCCAGCCCAGCACTCTCAGACGTCTGGCCGCTCCGGCTTCTTCGATGCCTGGGCCCCCGAGGCCTGGGCCGCTCCCCCGGGCCCCGGCTGCTCGCCCCGAAGGCCTTTTTTTTTTTTTCTCTCCGGAGCGACGCAGACGGCCGGGGCCGGCTGCGCGGCCACCGTGGGCGCAAGCTGCTCTCGAGAGGCCGCGCCCCGAACTCCCCCCTTCTCCACGTCGCGGCCCCGCGCAGAGAGGCTGCCTCTGCGCGAGGCCGCCGCGCGAGGCCGCCATGGCCCCACGTCTGAGTCGGGCCTGTCCCTCCACGGGGGGATTTTTTCCAGAGTGGTCAGGAGATGATCTGGGGGACGAGGTCAGGACCCCACAGAGCCCCGAGCACCCCAGCAGATCCGCGACAGGATTCGCATCCTTACAACATCATCTTGGCATACTGGCCCAAGATAGTTCCCCATGGCTGGGGCAAGGACCATGGGGGATCCTTTATTCAGCACCTCATCCCAGGGGTCTCCCAGCGCGGACTCGCAGTCGGTGTCTGCCTGCCTTATGCGAGACATGTTCGGCGGCTCGGATGACGAGGCCACTGAAGGTATGACGCTCTATGTTGAAGCCAGAGTTGCTGTGGGCGTTCGGACCGTGGCCGCCGCCGCTGCGAGTCCGCAACAAGCCAACCAGGGAGGTTTTGCAGCGGGCGTGGGCGCCGCTGGCGGCACCCACAGAGCAGCGCGAGATCCCGACAGCATCGCTTCCTCCAGAGATAAGGGCTTGCAAGAGCCGTCGGCATCGCCTCCAGAGATCAGGGCCTGCGAGATCCAGACCGCATCGCCCTCTCCAGCACAGGTGCATCCAGCATCAGCATCGTCGCTTCCTCCAGGGAGCGTCGGAGACGGCGGAGCAGCTCGAGGACCTTGCGGCGTGAACGTCAAGGTCAAGGTCATGGCCAATGACACCATCAGCGCCGAGGGCGTCAATGGTGGTGGCATGGGCAAGGGGAACAATGACACATGTTCGTTCATCACAGATCGCCTGGGGCTCGACCTTTCACGCGGGGGACCGCCTACCGACGCTGTCGAGGGCCGAGCAGGATGCGGCGACGGCGGCGACAAGGCCTCTGGAGTTCGAAGCCCGAGGGCCTTTGCAGGGGTCGATGGCGGCAGCGCATTTCAGTTCGCGAAGGTCGCCTTTTTCGACGATCGCGGCAAAAGAGTGACAGCGCCTGCCAGGCGTCGCATGCGCTCGCGCAGCCGAGAGACGCGGCTTAAGATGATGTGGGAAGGCGCCCGGGAGGACGCTCGACAGGTGCTTAGTGATTGTCGCGGCATGCAATCGATGTTTGTACACCAGCCCCTCATCGACATCGACGTTGGTCTAGTGATGAAGCGCGTGCGGCACCTCCACGATCGTGCCATCGCCTCTGGGCGCTCCGTCTACATCGGCACGACGAGCGACCCTTCATGGCGATGGAATGGAGGATGGGGGTGGCGAGGAAACGACCGAAGCTTCATGCGCGGGCACAAGCTCAGCTACGATGAGATGCAAGTGGTCGCGTCCTTCCCCGACAAACAATGCGGAGAGGTTGAGAAGCATGTGATCGCGCACTTCCCCCGTGCTGACAACAAGGTCGCGTCGCCGCAGGGGCTTGCGGTCAGGCACTGCGCATACAGCTTCCTATATGTCTGTAGGGCATTATGAGCGCCATTTGCGAAGCTGCCCAGCTCCGCTGTCTTGTGCGTGCAGTGGCCACTACCCAGACGTGGTACGTGGTGGGGACGACTGAGGCTGCGATGCAGAAGTGGCAGAATCGCCAGTGCGCTGCAACAGCCGCTGCAACAGCCGCCGCAACAGCCGCTGCAACAGCCGCTGCAACAGCCGCTGCAACAGCCGCTGCAACAGCCGCTGCAACAGCCGCTGCAACAGCCGATGCAACAGCCGCTGCAGTAGTAGAGCTCAACCCAGAAACTGGCGAGCGTGAGGACGATCTCCCGTTTCGACTTCACCTCTGGGGCGACTGAGGCACGCTGCAACAGCCGCTGCAACAGCCGCTGCTACAGCCGCTGCAACAGCCGCTGCAACAGCCGCTGCAGTAGTGGAGCTCAACCCAGAAACTGGCGAGCGTGAGGACCATCTCCCGTTTCGACCTCGCCTCTGGGACGACTGAGGCTGCGATGCAGAAGTGGCAGAATCGCAAGTAAGCTGCAACAGACGCTGCAACAGCCGCCGCAACAGCCGCTGCAACAGCCGCTGCGACAGCCGCTGCAACAGCCGCTGCAACAGCCGCTGCAACAGCCGCTGCAACAGCCGCTGCAACAGCCGCTGCGACAGCCGCTGCAGTAGTAGAGCACACCCAGCTTTCCTGTAGCGCAAGCACCTCGGCTCAAGGCATTTCTTGCAGCGCCTGCAGGCTGCCATGCCAGAAATGGGGGGCGGCGCAGGGGGGGCCTCCTTGCCCATGTCCAGAAACCGTCATCATGGACCCTGACACTGGACGCATTGATGCTCCATGGCTACAAGTTAAGGGGTACGTTTCGAAGACGAGTGGAGAACCTAATGAGCCGTGGTGGCATTGTTCACCGCGCGACAAATGCGCAGCCCCGACCCACCAGATTTCGCAGGACCACATCAATAATCTAAATAATAAACATCTCTGGTTCCATGATGCTTGCCCACGGGGTTCTGATGAGGACAAGACCGCATGGTGTTCTACCATCATGAGCACTGTGGAGCTCCACTCGAGCTACGTCCAGAAGCGGGAAGACGATGAAGCGGAGGACTGGAGGTCGACGAGGAAGGCCAAGGTCAAGGCCAGAGAGGGCAGAGGAGAGCAATGGCAAAGTGAAGGCCATCAGCAAGAAGCTGGAGCAGCTGCAGGAGAGAAGAACAACTGGAAAAGCTGGAACAGCTCAAGAGCTGCAACAGCAGGAGCTGCAACAGCAGGAGCTGATACAGCAGGAGCACAGCAGTGGCAGCAGCAGGGCGGGCTAACCACCGATATCACCACGATGCTCAATTCCTTGACCAACGCGCAGAACAAGGACGAGAAGATGTATGAGATTCTGGCTCTCCTGCGGGCACAGGGACAGATGATCACGGATCTCATGCGGGCACAGGACAACCTGCAGAAGAAAGTCGAGGAGCTCGATCAGAAAGTGGAGGAGCTCAAGCAGAAGGACAAACAGCAGCACCAGTGAGCTCAGCAGCAGGACAAGTGACCTCGCATGGGCGTCTGGTAGCCGATGTCGGAGGCGTGCAGCCTGGCTCGCGTGCTGGCTCTTTCGCCGCGCTGACGCGGCGCAGGGGGCTGGAATATGGCTCCTGAAGTTTTGGAAGGCTCTGGATTTGTTCACAAATTGGGTATGCTCCTTATGGCCCCCACGTCGCCCACCTGTCGGAGCCCCACCTCGAGCTCGATCCTCGACTACTTCGTCTTGGGAGCAGGTGTTGCTATATTGGTTTCAGGCGCTGACTTCGTGTGTCCACGGAGTTCTAACATGTCATGTTAGAGCTCCCGCGGAGCTCTAACATGCGATGTTAGAGCTCCATTGGGGCTCTACCATAATCTAACATGCTATGTATGTTAGAGCTCCACTCACTGGAGCTCTAACATGCCATGTTAGAGCTTCCAGGGAGCTCTAATATAATCTAACGTGCTATGTTAGAGCTCCGTTGGAGCTCTAACATGCAATGTTAGAGCTCCCTGGGAGGTCTAACATGCAAGGTTAGAGGTGCCAGGGGGTTCCCTGGCATCACATGGTTCAGCTCCCAGGGAGCTATATACAACATGACATGTTAGAGGCCCCACGGAGTTCTAACATACGATGTTAGAACTCCCAAGGAGCTCCAACATACTCTAACTTGCTCTGTTAACAGCATGTTAGAGTTGCCTCCCATACTCGATGGGACCTCTAACATAGCATGTTAGAGCTCCCATCGAGCCGTCCCCCCCGCCGTCGCCGTCGTCGTCGTCGTCGTCCCATTGGGCACGTCCGCATGCCGTCCCCCCGCCATCGTCGTCGCCGTCGTGATGATGATGATGGTGATGATGGTGGTGATGATGGTGATGGATGATGGTGATGATGGTGATGGAGATGATGTTGATTGTATATATATACGATCGGGTAGTCGCCATTCGAAATTATCATTATCATCGTCAGAAACATCGTCATCATCACCATCAGAAAAAACAGGACATCGTCATAATCACAATCAAAAAACATCAAACAACAGGAAGACCATAATCACATCAAAAACACATCCAAAACATCAACCTAAGACAGCCCTAATCCCAGCCAGTCGAGGGGGCCGCTTCCGACGAGGAGGCCGGGAGCTCTAACATGCCGTGTTAGAGCTCCCACGGAGCTCTAACATGCCATGTTAGAACTCCCTGGGAGTTCTAACATACTCTGACATTCTATGTTAGAGCTCCGTTGGAGCTCTAACAAGCCATGTTAGAGCTCCCTGGGAGCTCTAACATAGCATGTTGGAGCATTGTAGAGCTCCCACGGAGCTCTAACATAGCATGTTAGAGCTCCCAGGGAGCTCTAACATACTCTAACATGCTCTGTGAGAGCTCCGTTGGAGCTCGGTATGTTAGAGCTCCCAGGAAGCTCTCGCATGGGAGCTCTAACATAGCATGTTAGAACTCCCTGGGAGCTCTAACATGCTATGTTAGAGCTCCCTGGTCGCTCTAACCTGCCCGCCGCCGCCGCCGCCGTGTTAGAGCTCCCACGGAGCTTTAACATACGATGTTAGAGCTCCCAGGGAGCTCTAACATAATCTAACATGCTATGTTAGAGCTCCATTGGAGCTCTAATGGATCTCTAATATACGATGTTAGAGCTCCCAGGGAGCTCTAACTTACTCTAACATGCTATGTTAGAGCTCCGTTGGAGCTCTAACATGCCATGTTGGAGCTCCCTGGGAGTGCCAACATAACATGTTTGAACTTCCTGGGGCTCTATCATGCCATGTTAGAGCTCCCTGTGATGTCTGATATGCTAGGTTAGAGGTGCCAGGGAGTTCCCTGGGAGCTCTTACATGACATGTTTCAGCTCCCAGGGAGCTATAACATGACATGTTAGAGGTCCCACGGAGCTTGAACATACGATGTTAGAGCTCCCACGGAGCTCTAGCATACGATGTTAGAGCTCCCAGGGAGCTCTAACATAGCATGTTAGAACCCCCCACGGAGCTCTAGCATACGATGTTAGAGCTCCCAGGGAGCTCTAACATAATTTAACATGCTATGCTAGAGCTCCATTTGAGCTCTAACATACGACGTTAGAGCTCCCAGGGAGCTCTAACATGCCATGTTAGACCTCCCACGGAGCTTTAACATACCATGTTAGAGCTCCCATGGGGGCTCTAACATATTCTAATTTGCTATGTTAGAGCTCCCTGGGAGCTCTAACCCGCCGCCGCCGCCGCCGCCGCCCCTTAACCGTTTCACAATCGATTGCGCAACGGTTAAGACCCCCCCCCCTCTCGCCAGGGGGGGGGCTTAACCGTGTCACAACGATTGCGCAACGGTTAAGGCCCCCCCCTTGGCGAGAGGGCGTGGTGCGTGTGTGTGTGTGTGTGTGTGTGGTGGGGGGGGGGGGGGGGGGGGGAGTGTGTGTGTGTGTGTGTTGTGTGTGTGTGTGTGTGTGTGTGTGTGTGTGTGTGTGTGTGTGTGTGTGTGTGTGTGTGTGGTGCGTGCTGCGTGTGTGTGTGTGTGTGTGTGTGGGGGCTTAACCGTTTTACAATCGATCGCGCAACGGTTTAGGCCCCCCCCCCCCTGGCGAGAAGGGGGGGGGGCTTAACCGTTTCGCAATCGATCGCGCAACGGTTCAGATCCCCCCCTGGCGAGAGGGGGGGGGGCCTTAACCGTTCGCGCAATCGATCGCGCAACGGTTAAGACCCCCCCCTGGCGAGAGGGGGGTCTTAACCGCTGCGCAATCGATTGTGAAACGGTTAAGGGGCGGCGGCGGCAGCGGCGGCGGCGGCGGAAGCGCTTAACCGTTTGACAATCGATTGCGCAACGGTTAAGGCCCCCCTGGCGAGAGGGGGGTCTTAACCGTTGCGCAATCGATTGTGAAACGGTTAAGCGGTTGCGGAGCGGCGGCGGCGGCGGCGGCGGCGGCTGCGGCGCTTAACCGTTTCACAATCGATGCGCAACGGTTAAGGCCCCCCTGGCGAGAGGGGGGGGGGGGGGCCTTAACCGTTGCGCAATCGATTGTGAAACGGTTAAGGGGCGGCGGCGGCGGCGGCGCTTAACCGTTTCACAATCGATTGCGCAACGGTTAAGGCCCCCCCCTGGCGAGAGGGGGATCTTAACCGTTGCGCAATCGATTGTAAAACGGTTAAGGGGCGGCGGCGGCGGCGGCGGGTAGGTTAGAGCTCCCAGGGAGCTCTAACATGGCATGTTACAGCTCCATTGGGGGCTCTAACATGGCATGTTAGAGCTCCCAGTGAGCTCTATCATGGCATGTTAGAGCTCTCGCGGAGCTCTGGCATAGCATGTTAGATTATGTTAGAGCTCCTTGGGTGCTCTAACATCGTATGTTACAGCTCCGTGGGAGCTCTAACATAGCATGTTAGAGCTCCATGGGAGATCTAACATGCCATGGTAGAGTTCCACGGGAGCTCGAACATAGCATGTTAGAGCTCCACGGGAGCTCTAACATCCTATGTTAGAGCTCCCAGGGAGATCTAACATAGCTTGTTCGAGCTCCCTGAAGCTCTTCTAAACTACCATGTTAGAGCTCCCTGGGGGCTCTAACATGCCATGTTAGAGCTCCCTGGGAGCTCTACCATGTGAGGGAAATCGATCAGCGAAGGGGGATCCCTCAAATCGCCCTGCCCCTCGGGGGGGCCACGCAATAGCCTCCTGGACCCCTCTTGGTTCCATTTATCAGATCACCCAGCTTTCCTGTAGCGCAGGCACATCGGCTCAAGGCATTTCTTGCAGCGCCTGCAGGCTGCCATGTCAGAAATGGGGGCCAGCGCAGGGAGGCCTGGCCCATGTCCAGAAACCGTCATCATGGACCCTGACACTGGACCCATTGATGCGCCATGGCTAGAAGTTCGCGAGTACGTTTCGAAGAAGAGTGGGGAACCTAAGGAGCCCTGGTGGTTTTGTTTACCGCGCGAGAAATGGGCAGCCCCGACGCACCAGATTTCGGCGGACCACATCAATAATGTAAAGAATAAGCATCTCTGGTGGCATAATGCTTGTCCACAGGGTTCTGATGAGGAGAAGGCCGCATGGTGCTCTAAGATCATGAACGCTGTGGTGCTCCACTCGAGCTGCGCCCCGAAGCGGAAAAACGATGAGGCGGATGATTGGAGGTCGCCGAAGAAGCCCAAGCTCAAGGGCAGAGAGAGCAGAGAGCAATGGCAAAGTGAAGGCCATCAGCAAGAAGCCGGAACAGCTGCAGGAGAGAACACTTGGAAAAGCTGGAACAGCTCAAGAGCTGCGTCATCAGGAGCTGCAACAGCAGGAGCTGCAACAGCAGGAGCACAGCAGTGGCAGCAGAAGCTTACGCAGCAGCAGCAGCAGGACGGGCGAACCACCGTTATCACCTCGATGCTCAATTTCTTGACCAACGCTGCTCCAAACCTCATGGCACAGAACATGGCCGAGAAGATGGATCAGTTTCTGGACCTCCTGCGGGCGCAGGGACAGGCGCCCCAGGACCTGCAGAAGAAAGTCGAGGGGCTCGATCAGAAAGTGGAGGAGCTCAAGCAGCAGGACAAGCAGCAGGACCAGTGAGCTCAGCAGCAGGGCAAGTGACCTCGCATGGGCGTCTGGTAGCCG